ATTTTAATTCAAGAACACGGCCAATAGCCGTGTTTCTGATCCTCGAAGCTTCTTTCATGTTCTGAAAACGTTGTTCTTTTAAGTTTAACACTTCTCTCTTTTCAGTGTAAGATTATTTCTTTGTGTGTTGATCAAGCGTTTGACCTGAACAAAACTCCTCAAACTCTTTGGAATGACCCTCATTTTAAGAGATTACATCATCCTGCAAATAAGGCCTTTGCTGGTTTCACTTTTCTTTTTAGGTGAAATGAATTAATTCTGTTGGATGAAATCAATGAAATATTAGGCTCACTAAACCGAGCTGATACAATGACAAGGGTTGTATAATATTTATGTATTATTATAACTAATATTTTAAATGATTATTGTTATTGTTAAGTATTAATCACACCCACGACTTTTACCCACACCCACACCCACACCCACGACCCACGACTTGTACCCACGACCCATGACCCACGACCATTAGTCAAACTCTTAAAAAAAAAGGACAAAAAAGGACAAAAAAAAAAAAAAAAAAAAAAAAATACGTGTCGGGTCGAATTACACGCACGACTCCCAAGACGGTTGTTTGACAATTGGGCAAAATTCACGGCATATTGTAAAATTGGACTGGATTGGATTTGTAAAATATGGACTGGATTTGTAAAGCATCGACTGGATTTGTAAAATATGGATTTGTAAAATATGGATTTGTAAAACATGGATTTATGGAAACATGATGGCATTGTTCGACTGTTTATTTGTTTATTTCTCTGTCTGTCCCTTTTTAATCTTAATTGTTTTATTTTATATTATTTACATTTTATATTACCTAATAATTTCTCTAAAAGATTGTTTGATGTTGAGTAATATTAGAATTTGAAAATTTTTAAGAATAATCAAGAAATACGAGAAGCACTCGCTTACAGCGAGTAACCATTCTCCGCATTTTTGGCATTCTCTCGTGTTCAAAAACAAAATTCCGCGTGCTTTTACAGTGCATTCGGCGCGTTTTTATTTTTAAAATTATCAACATCTTAATACACAGGAGCTGGTAATGGTTACTCGCTGTAAGCGAATGCTTCTCGTATTTCTTGATTATTCTTAACAATCTTTTAAGATCTTTTGCCGCATCCTGCGTAAGCTTATTAGGCTCTCTGCATTTCACGCATATCGATCTACTAATGGGATATGATGATATCCTTTAGAAGGCTCTAGAATGTTGTGCTGTGTTGCAGTTAGAAGAGAGCACTAAATGATGTTTCAATTTAACATTAATCAGCTTAGCAACTGTTAACAAGCCGTTCGTTCTCCGTTTTAATAAGATCATGAATGAGTCCTCCTCCATTTTGCCCGCAGGAAATCAATGAAAGATTGCGAGTAAAAGATTTGACTATCGAAAGAATTGATAAATAGTTTGCAACAACGGCTGGAAAGACTGTCCGTTGCAAAAAATGATAACAACCACTCAAAGCGATGATCTAGTGGAAAATTGTATGTAATACTGCATGAGTCCCGTCTTATCACAGAGAAACGACTTCACCAGACTTAGAGCTGTGTAAAACTGATACACGAAATCCGAGCGAAGAAACAAGACTAAACCTCTTCGTTGACGGAAAATATTAATGAAATTTGTTCACCAAACTCTGCTACAACAGATTTGGGCCTGGCAGCTTTACATGTAAATCGCATTATCTAGAGGCTTATTTGAATTAAGAAAGCAGTGTCGCGGCAAGTTTTGGAAAAGTAATCTGAAAGTATGGAACAAAAACAATTCGTACAAGACTTCGTCTTGCAGATTTGGATTCTCTTGATTCTGCGGTATTTAAGGAACGACGGTGTTGTAGGTAACTGTGTGTCCATAGCTGTTGCGCTTAAGTTATTTGGTAAAGAAGAATAATTTCTCAAATTGAAATACCTGTTAGTCGCAGCGAAACAAAATTCCATCCATCAAAGAAAATAAACGTGCGTGAGCAACATTCACCACTTAATGCACACACATATATCAGCAGTTGTGGATACTAAGCATTTAGGGTGCTTAGCCCTTTATAACATTGATTCTTGTTAAGAGGGTCTACCCAACCTGCCGAGTGTTTAGATGAGGGTATGTAACCGCGGAAAAAGTCCTCTTTTGCTCTTTTGAAAAATTTCTCTCCAATAGTATGGAAAATGAAGGAAAATGTTGTTTATTTACCTCTTGATTGATACATATTTTCTTAATACATACTCTGGACGTTAGTATTTCCTACTAGCTAATCAAATCGCTCAACTGACAACATAGGAATCATTAAAAATTCTGTTTGAAATTTGAGGCAAGGGCCAGTACCGTGTAAATTCAACGATTTCAGCTTTGAATTCTCGTAAACTTGACTGAAAAATACCAAAATGTTTGCAATATACGACTCCTGAATGAAAGATTTTCATGAGGTGGAGTTAATCAAGCCGAAATGAAAAATTTGAAAGGAAAAACACTTTGCTAGTGATTCACGCGTGTTTTTTCTGCCTAAGCATCTCAGATATTTCGATATCTCGATATTTTCAAAGACCACTAATTGCATTCATCCTACGGGCTAGTGCAATATTGTACGGTCACGGAAACGTAGGATGCTTACGGGACGACGGCTTCGATTTGGAATAGTATGGGATTGTGAAGAAATCTTGCGAAGACGATTGACATGTATTATATACTCGGCTTGAAGGTGCTCGAAAAAGATTGACGGAGCGACCTCGACTGTTATGGAACAACTCTACCATATTAATGTTCGAATGCAAAGACAGTACTCTGAGTGATTTAAATGGAATAGTGCCATAAACGGATGAGATGAGTGAAAACTAAATAATTCCATACAATTGAGATATTGGGTTTAAAACAACAGTCTAAACAAATTACTCCGCACGGATTGAGTCAGATTGTTTATTTGGCGTTGGTTTCACTCTTTCAGGTTATCAATTTTGTCCTGGGACTTCTTTTAAAATGTCAAAATAATGTCAAAACTTAGTATGATGTTATCGGGTTCCATGTCTTGCTCCTTTCTAAGATATTTTGAGAAATATCACTCGTGCACTCATGTATAATATCTGTAGATGTAGCATTTCTGACTATCATTGTGGCTGAGCTCTTTTAAATAGCGGTCGGAGGTTGTCAGAGTGGATTTTGAAACTCTCAGGTTTGTACTCAAACCCGTCCTTTAATTTGTACCTATTTCCGAGTAGAAGAATTTCAACATTTATCGATTAGTTCGTGCTCGCATTCTTCCGATTGTGGATTCATTTTTCTTTCAGTCGCCCATGTTTGCCAGACAATCAGAAACGCGATATTTTGTTGTATATACAATAAACTCGCATATTGGCTCACGAATAAGATAGATCAAAGATAAAAACGTGAGCATTTGAGAAAGGGTAGGATGATATTTGTGCAATTTCGAAACTTTTCGGTCATTTTCCAGTGAGTTTCTGACAGCTATCCGAAGATGTTTAGCGCCCTATAGGTAAGGTCCGTTTCTCGAAAGTCTCGGTAACTTAACGGCCCGTAAAGCTGTTCTGTTTTCACACGAGATGGCGATTTCAAATGTTTTGAAAACCGACAATGAAATAAAACTATCAGCTGAAGAAACATAAAGGACTCGTCTATTTTGCAGGAAGCCTAGTGTTCTACCTATGCATGTTCCTAACAGGACTAAAGAGACAGAGACCGCAGCTTGTCAAAGTTGATTGTGAAACTTGCATAGAAACACTTCAAGTTATAGGGTAATTGTAACAAACAACTTGACAACATTCAAGTCTTTAGAGTGAAGGACTTGAGTGTTCAGTATAGCTGGACATGATTATTATTCAGTGTTATCGCTCTCCTCTGCAAATTAAGTACAGGTTGCAAAGGGTACATAATAATGCTTTGATATGCTCTGCCCGAAGCAATTCACAGAATAATTTGAGAATGGCTAAAACAAGCCTATACGAGGGTATCATACAAACTCGATAAAGTTTTTGTGTTTAGGAAATAGCGAAGCGGAGAGAATACGGCGAAACCTCGATCGAGAGTCCGGGTAATGGAAAATAATTATGAATATAAATGTTTGAAGATGATGGAACCAGAGAAGCAAGTCCAGATAATCGAAAAATCCGTATTATCGAGGTCCGTATAATAGAGGTTTGACTGTACCTATACTTTGATTTTTTTGGCTATGTAGTTAATGTGACTCTTATAAGTAATATTTGAAGTTATATAAACTCCAAGGTTTAAATGGAGTTTAGTGGGTGAATTACTGATTATTATCATTCCCTATCTAGTGAAAGCTTGTTCGCAGGTAACCAAGTATGGACTTTATCATGTACATTGCTAACTCACTTTCATGTATGTATGCTTAAGAATAGATTTGTATTATCTCCAATGACTTTCATCGTTGCTAAAAGTCATTTATGTAAATAAGGAACAGAAGTGGCCCAAGACCTGATCGATCCTTGGAGCCGGCACACCACAACTGACCATATATGAGTAAACCAGTGTTTAACAACACCTCTGATATCATAGCTTCGCGATTAAAATATTGTGTTTAACAGTATCAAATGCTTTGCTGTGAGAGAAATCACGATCATCAATAGCTTTCGGCACTTGGTCAACAATACTGAGTTTAAGTAAAGAAATTATAAACTCTACACCATTTATACTGCGAGAATCGTGTACAAATACGTTTATACCATTTGTTAGGAAAAATTACAGGATATTTTAGAGGGAAACTTGAATTGTGCTAGCTTATTTCTTCCAATACCTTTAATGTTTTTGATTAAATAAAATTTACAACTTTTTTAGAGACATGTTTCGGTATGCTTATGCCATTTTCAATCAATGAGTAACTGAACGTGAGTAATTATATAACAGACAAGTAGATGAATAAAATATTTACGGTATGATGTAATACAAAAGCGGGTACTAATTACAGCGTGACAACAAACATGAAATTAAAGGTGTGAACTAAAATGCTAGAAAAGTGTCATAAAGCTGTAATTGTTTGTTAAGTTCAGGTTTGATCTTATTTATAGAAAAAGCTTCTTTGAGTTTTAAATCAATTGAGTTGTTGGCAGAATCCAGAATACTAAAGCAAGAAAGGTAGTATTTGTTCTTACAAGAAGGAGATGCGTTAAAATGTAATAATATACGAGTTTTTATCGCTTTCCGTGTGCTCCTTTATCCTAGTAGAGAAGTGGCGACTAGTTTCGCCAATATAACGGGAATTACATCCCACACAAGAAAATTGATAAACTACCATGGATTTTAGAGCATCAGGAATACGATCTTTAACACTGAACATGTTTTTAATTTTGAAAGAAGTGAAAACTAGTTTGATATTAAGGTCCGATTTACAAAAGCGCTTAGTGAGTTGTCGGAGTTTAAGGTTCGCTATTTTAGAATAATAGCCAACAAAAGGGAGTTTAAAGTAACATGTATTATTGTCATCAATGTTCCGGCTATTTTGAGAGGAGGACCCGTCAAGATACCGCTTGAAAGTTCTTTCAATGATATGCGAAGGAAAAGAATTACGTTTTAAGGTGTCGGAAAGTTTCTCAAGATCGTTTTGAAAACCGGAAGAGGTGTTGTTGATTTTGTAGATACGGTCAATAAGAGTTTGGATAAGGCCAATTTTGTAGCATGATGGAATAAAACTGAAGAAATTTGTTAGGAGACCAGTTTAGGTTTTCTCATGAAAAACTAGCTTATCTTTTTCTCGGTTTCCACGAGCAAACATGGCTAAATAATTTTAACCGTTCGACTCGCCTTCTACTTTATAGGCGTTATGTTGACGACACCTTTTGTGTCTTCCACAATGAACAGGATGCGATGTCATTTTTTGATTACATTAATTCACGGCACCCCCAACATAAAATTCACTTTCGAAAAAGAGCATGATGGTAAACTCTCCTTTCTTGATATATTTATCGACAACTCTTCGAATGATTGTGTTTCTTCAGTACTTCGCTTGCGTGACGACGCCGGAAAGGGCTGCAAGGAAGACTACTACTTGTCTGTTATATAATTACTCACGTTCAGTTACTCATTGATTGAAAATGGCATAAGCATGCCGAAACATGTCTCTAAAAAATGTTGTATATTTCTTACAATATTTATTCTACTTGCTACTACTAAGACCTTATGGAAATAAAATTTAGTTGTAGGGTTTGTCAACAATGTGTCAATTAATTAAATTACCAGCGTGGCCTTAATTCTTCTCTGATGTCAGCTAATAAAACATTATTGCTTCTGTAATCTTTCCTCTAAGTTATAGATACTAAAAACAGAAAAAGTAAGCAAGGTAAAAAAAAAAAAATCGCACTGAAACGGCTATTGATCACAGAAATTGAAGAGGCTTGGTTTTCTGATTGGTTTGTGATATTTAGACTGAGAGTAGCAGGAAAAACACATTAATGTTTTCCTTATTCAACAGCTTAATTAGATTTGACTAACATTCATGATTTAATAATTAACATCGATAGTGAATTTTCATTTAAAATAGGATGCTTCATAACTTTGTTCCTTTCTCTTCAACATCATTTACTAGACGGGGCTCGATTAAAGGAAGTGGGTTAAAAAATATTGGTTTAAAAATTCATAAATGCCTTAGATTTTCCAACTTTGTATAGTGGTGTACACTTGTATATATCTAAAAGCTAAATTATGAGGTCAAGTTGACTGAAGCTTTATTCAACACAACAACAACAATTGATTTGAGTATTAAATAATACAGCACTGTCTTTCTCATACATACGATTATAAGTGTACAGTCTTAAAAAAAGAGAAATTTCTTTTTATCGCAATGATTAAAATAGGATGAAAACCAGATGAGAAAAACCCAGAACAGCTTATCTTAAAAAGAGCGCTAATAACATTGAGATCGACAAACTAAAATTTAAATGGCCATCATCAGTTGTTGCCAACGAAACAACAGATACGTAGGCTTTTAGAAGCACAAAGTAATGGCACAGGTTCAGACATGAAAATATCAAGTGCAGAAACGAGAAGTACAATTCAAGAGGATAGTGGTTTCTTTTCTGTATTGGTATCTACTGGTGCAAAAGATCTGCTTTATGTTGCAAAGGCTGCTACTAAATTTGTTCCAGGTTTCGCCAAAGGAGAATTTGGAGCATTAGGGTCAAAATGTGTTGAAAAAATTTTTGGTAATGTGCAAATAATTGGTGCGTACGTTACGCATTTTCTATGCTTTAGATTAACTGTGAAGTGTAAAAGAATTTCTGGTTCCAAAGCACATCATTGATGTAACCATAACAAGGTCACCCTTAGCCTCACTCCCGTTAAAAGGCTTGGCAACAAAGCACACAACTGTAAAATGGACTATTCTGGCAAGTTGTGCAAACCCTCAACTGCATGTGTCTTGGGTTTGCAAAACTTTCTTGAATTCTCCCAAACCCCCACGTGTTTAGATGAGAGTAAGTAAAGAAGGAAAAAGTTCTCTATTGCTTTGTTTTATAGAACCATCCTCCTTGTTTGACTAGGCTGGCATATTTTTTTTATGGTTTTATATTGATGAACGTCATGCTTTTTGTTTCGCTTCCTTTGTTAACTGAAAAGGATCGATTGAGAGTAATGGTGAAATATTGTAGCTTGACGAGATGTAAATAAAGCTAAGAAAGGATCGGACGAATTAACACAAGAACAGTATGGATAGGAAATGAAAAAATTTCAGCAGACGACGCAAAACGGTATGGGAACAAAGTTTGACAGTTGGCTGCGATAAAAGTAGAAGGAAAGAAAAAGAAAATGGGATGGCGTTTGAAATCAGCGGACGATGACGGATGGCTGAGGCATGCGGTGAAGTTTAGCTTTGGATGCACTTCTACTGTTCCATTAAGTCACTTTCAAGTGTTCTGTATCACAGCAACTAAAGTTTAAATCTTCCCAAAACAATTTTTGAGCATGCTATCCCTTGATAATGAAACTTTGCGCAGTTGCAACTGACGTCTAGTTTCCCTTTGCTTGTGATAACTTGGGCTCATTGGCTCTTTATTAAGTTCTGGCCAATTGATAGAGGTCAGTTAAGGAGATGGTTTCTTCTTGTTAGTTAACTTGATGATAACGAGACTGAAAAGAAAAGTACTGAATACTTCAACACATCATGAATTTATTTGTGGATCAGGACTAATCAGTTTTCATAAGCATGTCTGCAGTTGTATGATAACTTACTTGGAATGTTAGGCACTCTAGCACACATGTGTTCATCAATCTTATTTGATGATAAGTAGATCTCAAATAAAAGCTTTGCTTGGTTCTTCATCTTTTCAGGCAAATTTAAATAGGTTATCACAGTCTTATTGGAACTGAGACCAATATCCTAAACACACCAATGGATGGTTAAGGTGACCCCATTACTATTTTACATAAACTCTTTCTGAGAATCAAAGATAAATCCTGATGTTTATCTTGTCAGGCTAGGTTGATAGTGTTTCTTGCACGGCATCAAAAATAGCCATCTTTCACAGGAGGAAAGGTTAGCCTGACAGGTGGTAGGGGAGGAAATCCCAGTTTCGAACTTCTGAGTGGCTCACAAGAAGTGGGGGCTTGTATTAAAAAATCGAGAATGGTTGCCAAACGGAGTATTCAGCTCTGGATTTGACTCATTTGATGCACATTCCTCGAACTCGCACGCTTTCACATGCCTCGAGTAAAAGATTTGTCAACAGTCTTGAGAAAACAAATGTTATACAAAGGACGGGAAGAGGTCCACTGCTATGGTATTTGCCATGAAAATCTAATGAAGCTGTTTGACCTTACATGTGTGAAATTAAGGGTAAAGAGTTCAGTTACGAATCTCATGCTTGAAATGAGAAAACACATCTTGAAAGTGCTCAATTTAAGATCCAAATCATGCGCTAGGTTGTCTAAGGCCATGTCCACACGTATCCGGGAATATTTTTTTCCGCAAATATTTTTTTGTGGATATGAAAATTTTCGTGTCTACACGCAGCGTATTCGAATCGTTTTTAGCCGTCCACACGTATCCGATTGTATCCGGAAATTTTCTGATTTGCTCTAGTGCCCAGTTCTTTTGCCGGAGAGAATCCTTAAATGAGCATGCACATAATTGCGATTTTGGCGCCATTTCTTTCGCGCCATCGGTACTGCGAGGTGTAATCAGTCGAAGCTTGTAGTTTATCACTCAAACAAATGTCTAAATCTGCTGAAAAAGTCAAGGAAAAGTATGCTGATACATATAAATGGACCGATGATGAAGTTGAACTGCTGCTGACGGTCACGAAAGAATACAAAACGAAGCAAATTGCTAAAAGCATAGTTAATAGAGGGGACTGGTTATGAAGGCCGGCATACATCAGAGAGCTAGGTTATTGTTCGAGTTTATCGAAGCCAACCAAGCGTGACCGTGCACACACATTCAAGATGGCGGGGAGCTAGAAGACTTGCGTACGTGGTTTGATCTGTTTCTAAAGCGTCATGATGTAGTTG